ATTTACCATTTGTGTACCGGTATAAGGCACAGTATACATGCGATATAAAATGATGTACATGATCAATTTAAATTGCTGGATTTTAAGTATTCGTCCTCGTCATTCTTGGATTGTGTAGTATTTTAATTGTTTCAAATCACTAGGACTGTTGATGTGAAATGATTTTTCTGTGGAAAAGAGAAATATTCCGTTCGTGTATCAAGCCGTGAACTTGAGACTTGAGAACTAAGTATACATAGATTTTTTATTACATGTATACCCCAAACAGCCGTATTATACCAGAAAAATATGTACTTGTACTTTAAGTATCCATATATAAAAGAACATTTCTGTCAAGAAGAGAAGTATGTCTATTCACAATTGTCAATAATTATGTAAAAGTACTAAATTAGAACGGGTGCATAGTTTTGCTTTAAAAAATACACACATATATAATAGCTCTCTCTCTCACTCTCTCTCTCTCTCTCTCTCCAGGAAACGTTTCAGTGGCTGAATATATATATATTTCAATCTATTGCATCAGTGATGTTTAAAATATGATCAGGTATTTTCGTTAATTTAGCACTCAGTCTCTGATTTTTTAATTATCAGTAAGCACACATTAAATCCATTCTGATTGATCATATACGACATACATGCACTGCTGCAGAATTTTTAAATACTGTGCATTATGTAGAAAAGTACTCAAAAGCACATTTTCGCAATCCTTTATAAAACTGAGATTTCTGTAAGAACATGTAAATACCCATAACAGGGAACCCATACTGAGCACTACGTACGCAGAGTTTTTGCAAACAGCAACATATCCTCCATATATATATATGGGGGGGGGGTTAGAATGGAAAAAAAAACAGGTGCGATTTCAGCAACTGTGGGACAACTTTATCGAATGCTAAGACAACTTTTAATAATCATGCGATTCAATGAATATTTATATTGTACTAACGTAGTTGAACTACAAGAGGCCCATGGGCTACATCGCATACCTGAGCAACGTGGCTAAGAAAATAGCAGAAATCAGCTCAGTATTGAAAGTTTAAATCCATACGTGGTCCCAATCTACCTTTAAAGGGGATGGGAGTATATGTGAACAAACTTGAATCTACACGTCTTGAAATTTTCTCCCATAAGTTTCAACATTCTTGGCACTCTGTTTCTTGAGATGATTTTAAAAATATGTCATCAATTGCAAATTTTCACATTTTCTGAATTATCTCCTCAAAGAAGTCGCCCTTCATTTGAATAGACTTGAGTACCGTTTACCAAAAAATGCTTTGTGGCAAGTTTGGTTAACATTAGCCCAGTGGTTCTAGAGAAGAACTCGAAAATGTGAAAAGTTTAAAGACGGATAAACAGACGTTAGGCAAAATGTGATCAGAAAAGCTTGGCCAGCCCTCGACCCACCTTCTTTTTTTTCGTTTCAAACATATTGTTCGAAAGGTTTTACGTTTTAATAAAGATACTTTACAAACAAATCAGAATAAAGCCAATATTGCGCGTTAGTGCAACCCACATCACAAACCTGTTCTTCTCCAAGAAATATATAGCACAATGCTTAAGCACCCAAATAAAAACACCTATAGAAACTCATTGCAAATACCAGAATATATTAATTATATTTTAATCATTTAAAAATTGCAACATAACAGAAACTAGCGCACGCTCCCTGCGACGCAGTTTAGTACCGGTAACTGGCAAATTTTCTTTTTATAAAAAACCTTTTCTTCAGAGGAAACACGTGAACAAAGTCTATTTATTTTCAAAATCTGCCAGGCCCATCTAAAGGAATCAGAAAATGCATGTGTATTTAGATTTAGACTTTATAGGCATAGGCGTCGAAACCGGGCGAGCGTAGAGAGGGGGGGGGGGGGGCTTTTTCAAAGTTAGACTTAGTATAGGCATTGAACATTGCTGCGTAGGTATACCCACGAAATAGGATTTTTGTGTTTGGAAAATACACATCCCTTGTTTTTGTTTGTGTGTGTGTGTGTGTGTTGTTGTTTTTTTTTTTTTTTTTTTGCTACTCAGGTTTTTTTTGGAAGGTCTAAAAAAAAAATTTCTTACCCTTAGCCCCCACTTTAATTTGCTTCCGACGCCCATGATAATTAGATATTTTCCGTCATTTGGTATAAATTACCTTGTACATACAACATTCGTTAAAACTTAAAAATAAATTGAACTTCAATCGTTAAAATTTGAAGGTAAATGGACACGTCTTCCCAGGCCTTCCCTCTTTATCTTTTCTCTCGAATATACGCATAAAGAGGGTATCCATTTTTCACCAGTATATTTTGTACCAAATCCAACAATCTCAGCATGCATGACTTGGGTTGATACGCGTAACTAATAAATCTAATGATCAATGAATCATGCACTACTCGACTTTTATACTTGTTCGCAAATATGAAAAAAAAATTGCGATAATAGAATAAAATAATCGACCAATTAAAATATTCGTAATGGAGTGAAAAAATCTTTACATTTTTAAAAGCAAGGTTAAAAAAAACTTTTTTTTAAATTCAAGGTTTAAAAAAAACTTGAAACTTTGCAGGTAACATTCAAGAAAACGACATCGGGACTGTCTACTCCATTTTTTGAACCCCGAAAACAAGCTGTATGTTGCAGCTGACCGACTTTAGCGTGGGAGAGACGCCATCTCGGTTACGTCCTTTGATGTGGTGAGAATGTGACGTAGTATTTAAAGTTCTCGACAAGCAAAGCGTCAGCTCGTCACAAACAATGTAATCCTTTAGGGGTTTTGCGATTGGCTCTATGTCCTGAATAAACCCATAATGTTTAGTACTAGCGTTGAAGAGGTAGGAAAACAGGCGGATGATGAATATACGCTTGGTGAGGTAAGTTGTGTTGAGTTCACAGAGACGACCAAAGAATTGCAACTTCTTAATGTCAATCTCTGCTGTAATTGGAAGGAGACCTAGAAGGCTTTCGCACATGTCTGATCTTGTATGATGGGGCAGTCCCATAACATGTTTAACAACGAAATGTTGGAATGCGTTGAGTGTTCTTATGTCTTTTGTCCGAAGATCGCACCATAATTCACTTCCGTAGAGAACTGATGGTAAGACAATTTTTTTGTACATTTTGGCCACTGTTTTGGGGTTGAGCTGTTCGGAAACTTTAAGAGCGAAATATGCTTGCCGTCCTTTCCTGCAAGCGTTTGATGTTCTTTCGCCAGGATCAAAGTTGGAGCTTAGAAGAATTCCAAGATGATTGTATGAGTTGGAAAATTTGTTGGACAAGATTTTTTTTCTTATTATTTTGTTAAAGATAAAATTTTTTTTTTCACAGCGCTTAAAATTCATGAAAATACTTTCAGAAGTTGTAATAAGTATAAAAAGAATGTTTAAATGGAGTTGTATTTGACAAATTAACTTCATTGAATTTATTAAAAGTCGTGTGTATTCTTAACAAAACTTACGAAATGCGTTAAAAAGCGTCGTTAATGTAACCTCCGTAACTACCTTACTTTAGTTTGTCAATTTGTCATATAAAACATCCGTTTATTACACAGGATAAAAAAATTCTTCAAGAAAGAACTAATGTATCCTGTCCTGCTTTTTAATGAAAAACTAGTGTTATTTCCTCATTTAGTGAAGAAAAACTCACGGTAAACATGATTTTTGTGCAGAAAAACGAATGATGAAAATGCTATAGTAGGAAAAATTGATGTCACCTCCGTCACGATTAATTGTGCCTTATTAATTTTACAGATAGGTCATAGAAATTTGTCTACTTTGTCCCAAGTAAAAGTGTGTTCAGGTCCATGCATATGATGGTCTTTTTTTTGGTTCTCTATAACGCGAAATAACTTAAAAATTCACATTATATGTGTCAACATAACGCCCATCACTTTTTGATCACCTTTACTAGTATTTGGATGCGATTTTCTTAAAAAATAAAAATGCAACTATCTTTCCTTATTAAATTTATGAAAAAAAGTATAGGTATAAATGTATTTAATTAGAAAAAATGTAAAAAATATTGACACAATTTTTTTTTCACTGTGACGGCCGTTATTATTTACAAATAGCTGATCCTTGCCCGTCTCCTAACCGCAAGCTTTACATCTGGAGTTTTCTTCTGATCCCTGATTGGATTGATAATATTATACATTCATTGACTGAGGTCGAGGGCAACATGCGTTTTGTCGGACCCAAGAACCAACATGTTTTATGTAAGTTGTCTTTCATGACAACAGGACCGTCACTTTTTAACACCAACGAATGTGAAAATGAGATTAAGCTCCACCCATTCTGTGACTTTAGCGGTCCAACATCTCACTCAGCGCCCCAACATCGATTTTTTAAATCAATGCCCGCTCAGAAAAACATTAGAAATGTTAAACTTTTTTGGTACATATTTGTATAGGAACAAAAGGTATAACAATTTATCAATATATATCACCCGTCGTCAAGCAATGTCGAATGTTACTAACCTGGAGGGCGTGGCTTCATTATATATTCAGCGGGTATCAGTGTTGGTCTTTATTAACATTTTAAGGCCAGAAGGGCGATTGAAAACAATATTTACAAAGAATGTTTTGTTTTGGAAGCAGTGAAAAGATTTTTATTAGAAACACACGGTTAGTAGTAAAAACATGGAGAAATAAATCGAGAAACAGTGCACTTTTTCTGCGCTATAATTATGCAGTTTTTTTCAATGAGAGGCACTGTAGCTTTCCTGTCTGTCAATTTTTTTCGTAGACTCAGCTATACAGTTCTGCAGCTACTGTCAAATCTCTGACAAGTCAAAATAATTGACATTCTAGACAAATTAAAAAAAATGTAACATGTGTGGAAATATTTATTTGCGTGAATAAGTTACAAGTTAATTACAAGTCGAGATATACAAATTTTACAATCACATTATGATAAATCTATAATACAAATATCTGACAAGCCGATCCATATGACTGACGTGTAAACATATTAGTTTTGGCAGAAATATTTCACCATAACTTTTAGTTCAAAGGGTTTTTTTCTGATGCAAGAATGGCGGCGGTATTTAATTTGTTGTCATTGATTCTATGTTTTGGACTAATATCACTAATTCATTGCTTTCAATGTCCCAGTAAGTACTTAGTATGTTTGAAAATCAATAGTGCATGCTCCGAAAGGTAAAACAATTCATTGTTACATTACTCAAACATAAAAATAAATTCATTTCGTATATATACAAGATCTACTTTCGTTTTGAGTTAGAGACAGTTTAATCTTCAGTTTTCTTTGAGGCTAAATTAAATATATATTGATGAATTAAATATACAATGTACAATTGTATGATAATTAGGGCTGGGCAATAATATCGATATTTCAATATACATGTATTGCAATACAGTGATAAAAAATATCGTATCGCAATACGATTTTGTAATATCGATATATTGGCAATATGCTTAGATTAAGGAATTTTGTCAATAAATATAAAAATGGACCCATGAAAGTTTGATATTAAGCCAAGCAGTAAGTCAGAAGTTGTTTTGGGAGAACATTTCAGAGCATAACTTAAAGGAAATCAACAAGATTTTTTTTTCGTGTTGGTTACTTATCATAGTTATGTACATTGATTCTGCATGTAAATTAAAATAAAAATAGTAAGAAAATGCCATTTTTATTACATTGAAAATATTGCAATACGTATTGGAATACAGTTTAAAATATTGCAATTTATATCGCAATACGAAATCTCGGACCAATACCCAACCCTAATGATAATAGATAATGTAGTATAGATGATTTATTTGGATGGAAGTATAGGGCCTAGTATTAATAACTTTCAATTTTCTTTCCAAGTATTCGAAATCGAAAATGTTATTTTAATACTTATGAGTATAAAATCTGAGCCAGAATTTTCAAACATTGATTTAAAATTATACTTAAAATACATGTAACGCTATTATAATTAATTTACCTTTTTAATTGGGAATTTTAAATTGCCAATTTAGACAATATATGGAAAAATCTGGTGTCATATATTCTGCAAAATTAACTAAATTTTGAATATTTTTAGCGTTAATTTGAAGGCTTATTGCATCTTTGTGAATCACTAAAATCTCGAAAGTATTACACCCTTCGCTTAAAAAGCGGAAGGGAATATACTGTAGTAATCGAGATGTCCGTCCGTCTGTTACGCTTTAGGGTGCCTATGTCCTTTCCGCAACTCCTCCTTTACCACTGAAATTTATAGTACCATTGTGCACCTCCTTCTTTACATTTTGATCGGACACATATTTTGGGTTTTCCAGAGCAAAGCATTGACACTGCCATTTTTTCTACAATTTTGAAGGGTATACCCATCTCTTATCCATGTTATCCGCAACTCCTCCTGTACACCTAAAGTGATACTCTCACAGATTCTTTAAAAGTTACATAAAACCATTGTGCACCTCCTACATTTATTTTTTAATTTTTGATCTGACACTTATTTCGGGTCTCCAATACCAATCAGGGACTTTGTCATTATAATCATACATGCATTGGAGTGGGGAGGGGGGTGTTATCATTTTGATTTAGTGATCTCACTGCTCACAGTACCTCTGTTTTCTTGGTTTTTGTCTTAATGCATACGTCTCCGGTCTATGCAAGAAAAAAAAATGAAATGTTGACAGTAATTTCTCCATCAGTTGAGACAATTTTTTTATGGCAAGTTATACCATCAATGAAAATGTATAGTAATTATGGGTCTTAAACATGTTCATGTAATATTATTTATCTCGGTAGATAATCCTGAGAATGGACATTGGGACGCGGATTCGTACAATGAGCGCTGTATTTTGAGATGTGATGATGGTTTTGAACCGTCCGATTGTCATGTTCTCCGACCAGTACGTGATGGACGAGAATGGAACCATGACATTCCGGTCTGCCAGGAAGGTACTACAGAAAAACGCCTACATGTATATACGCGTGTACATGTATCAGCAAGAATGTAACATTTTTGCCACTTTAAAGAAATGTGCATTGAAGCATTTGTATGAAAGATTTCATGCACAAAAGATGGAAATGATTGATCATCATCAGGTTTTGAGGTGTTTTTTTTTTTGGTCATAAAATAAAGGTCAATTATATTCTTAATTTGTAGCGAGCATGGTGTCTGGAAAAACCATTGTTGCCGTGGGGGTCGGGACGGCAGCGGCAGTGGTGGGCGTTCCCGCGGTTTTGGCGGGGGCGGGCTTTACTGCAGCCGGGGTAGCAGCAGGTAGCTTGGCTGCCTGGCTCCAGGTAAGGAAACAAAAAACGTTTTCAACACTAAAAAACCAAATGCTAAAAATTATATGCAAAGCCGAGTGTTATAAATCATACACAAAACCAAGTGCTACAAATTATACGCAAAACCAAGTGTTACAAATTATATGCAAAAACAAGTAGGAAAAACCCATTAGGAATTCTGAGAAAAAAATATCTCGATCAAAACCATCCAGCAAATATTTTTTTATTAAATAAATAAATTATTTTGTGTTGATTGAAATTGATATAAAAAATATCATGTCAATAGGTTATTTTATAAATGTTGAAATCTTTTATTTAACCGTCGTCTGATCAATATAAATCACCTTTTAATTAATTGTAATTGTCTTAAAATATATGATATTTTAAAAATTAAATTTCAATTCTATGATCCATAAGTACATGTATATATATGATTTGAAATACTAGTATTATTTTTGTTATTAACATTTATTAATAAAAATTGTTGCTTTAAAATGAATAAACAAAATAAATAATACCAATACAGGTTTACATCTCATTCTGTAAAAGTCTATACACACACATTAAAGAACGAGTGCACTTATGGGCCCCGGTAAAATGTGAAAAAATAAACAATCACATTAAGCAAAATTTTTCATCTGTAATCATTAACTGATACCTAAACCATACGATTGAATAATTTCCTCTATATTAGAATCTTTGCAATTTAAAAATCTGTTCATTTTCTCATGAAAAATCATAGAAAAGCATGAATATCTTCTCTCTCTACCATCGGGTCATTCATCATTACATGTCTGTGAGAGGAACGAACGACAACTCTGCGTGGGAGATTGGAATATCTTCATTGTCAAATCATACAGTGTAAACTATTTTGTTTAAAAAATGACGTCATCTGTCAACACATCAAAAAAATATATATTAATATTATATAAATATAAGAAATGAATCAAAATTTTTGAAAGTTCATGAGGTATATGACCTACAACGCTTCCACTCGGCATATTTATCATGTAGCGCTACATGTACATGTAACGCGAGAGAGAATCGTCATAGTTCATGTCCTCTTGAATCTCCGTAAAATTCAGTTCATATCTGAATTTAATCTTCATTACGACCTTTACCAGTTTTGTTTTGACTTTCAATTAGGCGTGGCATTCTCGACCTAATTAGATTCTGAAATTTACACAGCTTTCCTTCACTGTTATTACCGGTTAGCTGCAGAACTGTAGCTCTCTGCTTGAGAAAATTCGGACAGATAAAGCAGAGAGCTACAGATCCAAGCGTTGTAAAAACCTTCGATTTACGCCGACGATTTTTTGTCGCTCACCACGGGTATTTTTTCTTGCATTTTATACTTTCCCAGCTTTGAAATTAATTTGAAATGGTATTTAATTATTAATCTTACATTAAACTTCAATTCCTGATAATTTATCTACCTCTAAACGATAACAAATGGCTGTTTGTGGTTACGGACGTCGAAATGGAACTCTGTTAAACCATATACAAAACATTATACAGGACGGTTTCGGACAGTTAAAAGGTAAATAAACTTAATAAAGTATCAAATATAGGAGTTAAATATATGAATTATTATAGGATACAATTCTAAAAGCCAGAGAGAGCTTAGACTACACAATATTAATACATAAAGTAGCGACAAAAAATCGTCGGCGAAAATCGAAGGTTTTTACAACGCTTGGATCTGTAGCTCTCTGCTTTATCTGTCCGAATTTTCTCAAGCAGAGAGCTACTGTTCTGCAGTTAATTACCGGTATGCATGTATACATTAACATAGGATAGCAATTCAGTCGAATGTCTACTGGTGTAGTAAATAGCCAATTAATTAAAACTTCTCTCACGGCACAGAGGTGGAGCATAACTTTAAGTCGTAGCATCGTTGTCAAAAATTAAAGTTTCTGATGTTATTACCGGTAATTTCTTAACCAATGAGAATCTTCTAGTATTTGCCATTACGTAGCGCTGAGAATGCCACGCCTTACTGAAAGTCCAAGCTAACATGAAAACTGTAATATTTTCAGACTCCATTGACAGCCGCTGGTGGATGGTTCGCTGCGTCACAAAGTGCAGGTGTACTGGGAGCTGCCGCCACTACTAAGGCGGGCGTGGGTACCTTAATGGGGATGGCTACACGTTACTTCTCATCAGGAAACTGTGAACAGGAATAGTTCCAAGAATTATTGTACAAACACTCATCAATTTATGTCTTATGAAAAAAAAAGTTTATTTTTTAAATTTATTTATTTAGAAACTATATTGAAGTTTTGTGTGTGTTTTAATGAAAGACTAAACAAGTTTATATATGTTTGAAAAGTTATATTTATAAGAGACTCAGGAAAATATTGACTTAGCTGCTATACTAACTGTGACAACAAAGACTAAGAGTTACACATGAAGACTATCTTCAGTACGAGGTGTCCAAAGGGAAACAATACTGATACTCATAGTTATTGAATAAAATATTTTTTTGCAGCAGTGCAAGCGCGTTGTATATTTTTTTCTGTAATAGTGTTAGTGTAGAATATACCCCCTACTCCTGGCGATGATACGTGTCTGCCACTATAGCTAATTATAAGTACTTGAACTTATAATGATGTTTAAAATAAAGATGACAACTTAAAGCCTGATACACGTGTAATGAGATGTTTACACGGAAGGTACATTGTTATGAGACCAAGTTTGTCAACTTTATTACTATTCTCAGTTAACCGTGGACTTTCAGTTCGTATGGCATTCTAAGCGCTACGTTATAGGCGTCTGTCAAATGGGGAAAGATTCTCATTGGTTAAAAAATAAATAAAATCAAGGACTTTAAATTGTTGTTGACAACGATCGATGAGACGACTTAAACCCCACCTCTTTGCCATCCGAGACACTGTATTAGTTTATTTCTATACTCGCTGACATTCGCATAATTTCTATCCCATGTATATTTCAATAGTGAATGAAAGCTGTGTTACTTTTAGACGGTAATTATGTAACGTTGCGAATGCCACGATTTACTAAAAGTCAAAGGATAACCGAGAAATGAACTACAACGTACTGGACCCTTTTAAAATCTGTTCAAAAAGCATGGTATCTTCACATTTTCCACCGTAATTGCAACAATATACTGTCGACTGCATGCACCATTTGTGTGCAGGGTCGAAATACTAGTAATGTGAAAATAAATACCAAGGACAAATGTACAAATTTCCTGTCAAAAAACTTTCCCATTTTAAAAGATATGTTTTGTAGGCTTCATATCAAGTTAAACTTGTAAAATTATTAACACTTGCGAGCAGCCACCGATAGCAGATGTGTAAAGAACGATAACTCTCATTTTTAATCGGGTATTTCCTAAAATGGTTAAGTTATCTGTTAGACGTTGTTGTGGATTTTGCTGTTTAGTTTTAGTGTTTTGTTGTTTAATGGTCTTCACCCTACCTGGTTTTTGTCCAGGTAAGAAATATACGTGTTACACCTATATTAAATACTGATAAAAAGATTAATTTAATTTCATGTAAGTAATGAGTCTATTCTCTTACAGATTCACTTTCGTTTACTGTTAGTGAGAACACTTGCACAACATACGCCCACTTTTTTGTTGGTTATGGCCCACAGCTATTAGTTTGATGGGAGAAATTCACTTTGAAAGCTTTGATGCCCAATGGCATTTAAGATTTATTTTAACTACACTTTTTGAGATAAGACAGCTTACATTTAGATTTTTCTAACTCAACTCGATCACAGACAGTTTTTCTTCCAGTATTGCCTCTTAAAATAGCCCCTCTCTAAAATTTTTGCGCAAGTTTTAGTTCTTTTTATTTCTTTTTTTTTTTGGTAAATTTTATTTGCATTATCCGTTATTTTGGGTGTGTGTGTCTTCATTGCCCCTCCCCCTCCACATATTATCACACTCGAAATTGAGTTTTGAATTTTGTTCCTATTTTGATTTTGCGGCACAACCCCCTTACCCAACAATTTTTTTCTGCCTGTCATTTTCAATGACTCACACCTGTAAAAAATACTTATTTAGTCAAGAGATATTTTGCAGACACTTCCCTTACACACCAGTGTTATATGTGTGTAGACACGTCCCCCACACATCAGCGTTATATGTGTGTAGACACTTCCCCCACACACCAGTGTTATATATGTATAGACACTTCCCCCACACACCAGTGTTATATGTGTGTAGACACTTCCCCCACACACCAGTGTTATATGTGTGTATAGACACTTCCCCCACACACCAGTGTTATATGTATATAGACACTTCCCCTACACACCAGTGTTATATGTGTATAGACACTTCCCCCACACACCAGTTTTATATATGTGTAGACACTTCCCCTACACACCAGTGTTATATGTGTGTATACACTTCCCCCACACACCAGTGTTATATATATGTAGACACTTCCCCCACACACCAGTGTTATATGTGTGTAAACACTTCCCCCACACACCAGTGTTATATGTATATAGACACTTCCCCTACACACCACTGTTATATGTGTAGACACTTCCCCTACACACCAGTGTTATATGTGACACTTCCCCCACACATCAGTGTTATATGTGTGTAGACACTTCCCCTACACACCAGTGTTATATGTGTGTAGACACTTCCCCCACACATCAGTGTTATATGTGTGTATAGACACTTCCCCCACACACCAGTGTTATATGTATATAGACACTTCCCCTACACACCAGTGTTATATGTGTATAGACACTTCCCCTACACACCAGTGTTATGTGTGAGTAGACACTTCCCCCACAAACCAGTGTTATATGTGAGTAGACACTTCCCCCACACATCAGTGTTATATATGTGTAGACACTTCCCCTACACACCAGTGTTATATGTGTGTAGACATTTCTCCCACACACCAGTGTTATATATGTGTAGACACTTCCCCCACACACCAGTGTTATATGTATATAGACACTTCCCCTACACACCAGTAATATATGTGTAGACACTTCCCCTACACACCAGTGTTGTATGTGTATAGACACTTCCCCCACACATCAGTGTTATATGTGTGTAGACACTTCCCCCACACACCAGTGTTATATGTGTGTAGACACTTCCCCCACACACCAGTGTTATATGTGTGTAGACACGTCCCCCACACACCAGTGTTATATGTGTGTAGACACTTCCCCCACACACCAGTGTTATATGTGTATAGACACTTCCCCCACACACCAGTGTTATATGTGTGTAGACACTTCCCCCACACACCAGTGTTATATGTGTATAGACACTTCCCCCACACATCAGTGTTATATGTGTGTAGACACTTCCCCCACACACCAGTATTATATGTGTGTAGACACTTCCCCCACACACCAGTGTTATATGTGTGTAGACACGTCCCCCACACACCAGTGTTATATGTGTATAGACACTTCCCCCACACACCAGTGTTATATGTCTGTAGACACTTCCCCCACACACCAGTGTTATATGTGTGTAGACACTTCCCCCACACCCAAGTGTTATATGTATATAGACACCTCCCCAACACACCAGTGTTATATGTGTAGACACTCCCCCCACACACCAGTGTTATATGTGTATAGACACTTCCCCTACACACCAGTGTTATATGTGTATAGACACTTCCCCCAGACACCAGTGTTATATGTGTGTAGACAAGTCCCCCACACACCAGTGTTATATGTGTAGACACTTCCCCCACACACCAGTGTTATATGTGTATAGACACTGCCCCTACACACCAGTGTTATATGTGTATAGACACTTCCCCCAGACACCAGTGTTATATGTGTGTAGACACTTCCCCCACACACCAGTGTTATATGTGTGTAGACACGTCCCCCACACACCAGTGTTATATGTGTGTAGACACTTCCCCCACACACCAGTGTTATATGTGTGTAGACACTTCCCCACACACCAGTGTTATATGTATATAGACACATCACCCACACACCAGTGTTATATGTGTGTAGACACTTCCCCCACACACCAGTGTTAAATGTGCACTTCCCCTACACATCAGTGTTATATGTGTGTAGACACTTCCCCTACACACCAGTGTTATATATGTGTAAACACTTCCCCCACACACCAGTGTTATATGTGTCGACACTTCCCCCACACACCAGTGTTAAATGTGTATAGACACTTCCCCAACACACCAGTGTTATCTATGTGTAGACACTTCCCTTACACATGCACCAGTGTTATATGTGTGTAGACACATCCCCCACACACCAGTGTTATATGTGTGTAGACACTTCCCCCACACACCAGTGTTATATGTGTGTAAACACTTCCCCCACACACCAGTGTGATATGTGTATAGACACGTACCCTACACACCAGTGTTATATGTGAAGACACTTCCCCCACACACGAGTGTTATATGTGTGTAGACACTTCCCCCACACACCAGTGTTATATGTGTGTAAACACTTCCCCTACACACCAGTGTGAAATGTGTAAAGACACGTCCCCTACACAACAGTGTTATATGTGTAGACACTTCCCCCACATACCAGTGTTATATGTGTGTAGACACTTCCCCACACACCATTGTTATATATGTGTAAACACTTCCCCCACACACCACTGTTATATGTGTGTAGACACTTCCCCTACACACCAGTGTGATATGTGTATAGACACGTCCCCTACACACCAGTGTTATAGGTGTAGACACTTCCCCCACACACCAGTGTTATATGTGTGTAGACACTTTCCCCACACACCAGTGTTATATGTGTGTAGACACTTCCCCCAAACACCAGTGTTATATAAGTGTAGACACTTCCCCCACACACCAGTGCTATATGTGTGTAGACACTTCCCCCACACACCAGTGTTATATATGTGTAGACACTTCCCCCACACACCACTGTTATATGTGTGTAGACACTTCCCCCACACACCAGTGTTATATGTGTGTAAACACTTCCCCAACACACCAGTGTTATATGTGTGTAGACACTTCCCTTATACACCAGTGTTATATATGTGTAGACACTTTCCCCACACACCAGTGTTATATGTGTGTAAACACTTCCCCCACACACCAGTGTTATATGTGTGTAGACACTTCCCCCACACACCAGTGTTATATATGTGTAGACACTTCTCCAACACACCAGTGTTATATGTGTGTAGACACTTCCTCCACACACCAGTGTTATATATGTGTAAACGCTTCCCCCACACACCACTGTTATATTTGTGTAGACACTTCCCCTACACACCAGTGTGATATGTGTATAGACACGTCCCCTACACACCAGTGTTATATGTGAAGACACTTCCCCCACACACCAGTGGTATATGTGTGTAGACACTTCCCCCACACACCAGTGTGATATGTGTGTAAACACTTCCCCTACACACCAGTGTGAAATGTGTAAAGACACGTCCCCTACACAACAGTGTTATATGTGTAGACACTTCCCCCACACACCAGTGTTATATGTGTGTAGACACTTTCCCACACACCAGTGTTATATATGTGTAAACACTTCCCCCACACACCACTGTTATATGTGTGTAGACACTTCCCCCACACACCAGTGTTATATATGTGTAGACACTTCTCCAACACACCAGTGTTATATGTGTGTAGACACTTCCTCCACACACCAGTGTTATATATGTGTAAACGCTTCCCCCACACACCACTGTTATATTTGTGTAGACACTTCCCCCACACACCAGTGTGATATGTGTGTAAACACTTCCCCTACACACCAGTGTGAAATGTGTAAAGACACGTCCCCTACACAACAGTGTTACATGTGTAGACACTTCCCCACACACCAGTGTTATATGTGTGTAGACACTTCCCCCAAACACCAGTGTTATATATGTGTAGACACTTCCCCCACACACCAGTTTTATATGTGTGTAGACACTTCCCCCACACACCAGTGTTACATATGTGTAGACACTTCCCCCACACACCACTGTTATATGTGTGTAGACACTTCCCCCACACACCAGTGTTATATGTGTGTAAACACTTCCCCAACACACCAGTGTTATATGTGTGTAGACACTTCCCTTACACACCAGTGTTATATATGTGTAGACACTTTCCCCACACACCAGTGTTATATGTGTGTAAACACTTCCCCCACACACCAGTGTTATATGTGTGTAGACACTTCCTCCACACACCAGTGTTATATATGTGTAAACACTTCCCCCACACACCACTGTTATATGTGTGTAGACACTTCCCCTACACACCAGTGTGATATGTGTATAGACACGTCCCCTACACACAAGTGTTATATGTGTAGACACTTCCCCCACACATCGGTGTTATATGTGTATAGACACGTAGGCCTACACACCAGTGTTATATGTGTAGACACTTCCCCTACACACCAGTGTTTTATATGTGTGTAGACACTTACCCCACACATCAGTGTTATATATGTGTAGACACTTCCCCCAGACACCAGTGTTATATGTGTAGACACATTCCCTACACACCAGTGTTATATATGTATAGACACTTCCCCTACACACCAGTGTTATATGTGTGTAGACACTTCCCCTACACACCAGTGTTATATGTGTGTAGACACTTCCCCCACACACCAGTGTTATATGTGTGAAGACACTTCCCCCACACACCAGTGTTATATATGTGTAGACACTTCCCCCACACACCAGTGTTATATGTGTGTAGACACTAACCCACACACCAGTGTTATATGTGTGTAGACACTAACCCACACACCAGTGTTTTATGTGTGTAGACACTTCCCCCACACACCAGTGTTATATGTGTGTAGACTCTTCCCCTATACACCAGTATTATATGTGTGTAGACACTTTCCTCACAAATCAATGTTATATGTGTGTAGACTCTTCCCCTACTAACCAATTGTCGCAAAAATTTCGTATTAATTCGCGAAAGTTGCGTGTTTATTCATAAATGTTTTGCGTAAAGCCGTTATAACACGAAAAATTATTTTGTAAACCTAAGAAAATTAGCTCAAAAGGTTATCTTAAAAAAAGATTTTTAATAGGAGGGTAACCTATAAACAGATATGATATCTTTCTTTTTTTTCAGGTAAGGTTAAATAGTCCTAAAATGACCATGATCAATCAACCTGTTTTTCGGTGTGGAGAAAGCTCTCTATTATAATAAAAAAAAATTGCTGAAAATAAAACTACTGTAGCATATATAATTATATATTTTTCTTTATTTATAAGAAAATCCTAAAAATGGATACTGGTTTTATGAGAAAGAGAGGGGTCGATGTATTTTGAAATGTGAGAAAGGATACGAACCCTCAAACTGTCACGTTCTACGGTTTGTGAAGGGGAGATGGAACCATGAAATTCCTCACTGTAAAAAAGGTACATCTTAAAAAAAAATGATTGATTCTTCCATAGATATTTTTGTAAGGTGGGGTGGAGGGGATTTATACATTGAGGTGTAGCTGCAGAACTGTAGCTCTCCGAAAGAAAAAATATATACATCCACAGACTGGAGAGCTACGGTTCTGCAGCTAGTTAAGGTGTAGTAAGTTCAATTGCTTTATTTCCTGATACAGTCTTGATTGTATTCAAAGCTACCTGGCTTTCGGCGAAAACCGTTCTGGCGGCAGGAGTCGGGTCGGCGGCGGCAGTGGTGGGAGTGCCTGTAGCGCTGACGGCAGCAGGGTTTACTTCCGCCGGAGTAGCTGCCGGGTCATTGGCTGCCTGGCTTCAGGTTAGTCTAATGTCCACCGGAATACATTTCAATATTCTAGAGATATACCAAATAGACGTCGGAACCAGGGGGAGGGGCTAGGTGGGTGCTTGACCCCCCCCCCTTTTTTAGCAAAGATAGATATATTAATATAGGCATTTAAAATTTGGGATAACTTTTTTGGTGGTTCAGCCCTCGAATTTTCAGTTAACCCTACCCTTTTTAATTTGCTTCTGACGCCTATGCCAAATTATAATGCACATATGGACAGTGATGGTCACAATATTAATACTAAACGCCCTTGTGTATTTTTTTTTGTAAACCTTAAATTATTTCAGCTTCTTCCGAAATGGATGACTGTACAAACTTTAAGCAATATATGATGTTTCGATGAACCAGTACATTTATTTAGACTGAAATAAAGTATAATGTTATCTCGGACAAAGACAATGATAATGTAAATAAACATATTTAAAACGCATTGTATCGATAAATCATTATTCTTCGAATCATAGGCGTCGGTAGGAAATTGAAAGTGAGTGGAGGAGGGGGCTTATTGAAAGGGGGGGCTAAACCAACAAAAAAAAAAATTGCAAAAAAGTGGGGGTAAGCCCCTTAGCACCCACCTCACCCCCTGGTTCCGAAGCCTATGTGAATAATAAGAGTAAAACAATTTGAAAAAAAAGTAACATATTTTATTTTCAGACTCCATTTACGGCCGCCGGTAGCTGGTTCGCTACGTCACAGAGTGCGGGTGTACTGGGTGCGGCCGCCTCTACTAAGCTAGGAGTGGGCACATTAACGGGGCTGGCTACACGCCTACTTTCTTCAAAATTCTCAAACTGTGAACAGGAGTAATATCCGATTAAAACCGCTGTTTACTGCTTAAACATTGGATTTTTTTACGGAACAGTGTCAAATATTATTGAGTGGTACATGTAAATATGTTTAACATTGAAGATAAAGCATTTTTAATTATTTATTTCGATCATTCTTAAAATACATGTGCAATAAAGACTGTGTGATATTGTCACCTAAAAGTTAAATAAAAATTATGGTTATGCCTGGTATGCAATAGGAATTTTTAATTTTCTGTCACAGGCACCCGACGTTATTTATTTTTCTAATAATAAAAAGATATACCCTTACCTAATAATAAACCGGTTTAATTCATTATTAGGTAAGGGTATATTTTTTTATTATAAGAAAAATAAATAAAGTCGGGTGCCTGTGTTTTCTGTATTAAAAATTATTTTAAAAAATGTCTTGAGTTCAAAGGTCTTTTTTAACTGTAACTGTTCTGATACCATGATTAATTTTAATTAACAAAAAAATGAAATGATATATATTTTAGTAGTTTTACAATTAAATTTCGTAACAGTATCTAATACTGCTTATAATAAATAAAGTTGAAAAAATTATATATATATATTATAGTTAAACCACTTTCAAAGATATGACATTCAAAACATTGGAATATTTTTTTTTATGATAAACAATAACAGGTACTTTTCCCAAATGAAGATTCGCGTTGAAAGAACCGGTTGCGAAAAGAAGGATAACTCTTATTCGTAAGAGTAAATACGAGTATTACAGAAGATGGCTGGAGGCCTTAGTCATCCGATCATAGGAATTCTGTGTTTGGGGCTTCTTGGGGGAGTTTCCTGTTTTTGTCCAAGTAAGAAATTTGTGTTGTTATTTAAAAAAAACCCACAAAAAGTTAATATTTATAAGTATAACTGAAAAGTTCCCTCCGCATTCTATCTACTTTCACTTTCACTTGTCAGCTTACAGCTGTCTAGTTGTTCCGCATGTCCAGGGTGTAACTTTCCGAGCAGATATTAGACCACAGGAGTCGTCAGTTTTATTAATGAACCAATGTAAACAAAACTCTTTTTTTCACAAATCTTAAATTTAAATAACACAATTTCATTTGATTAAGATTTTGGAAACATGACATTCCCTCGAGAAGAAACCATTCTAAGCTTGACAGAGTAATATTAAATCCATCACCCAGAAAACAGTTTGCACCATGAGAACTACACTGCAGTAGTGAATGTTTGGGTAGATAATAATTAAAATTGAAACATTTCAAGATTTCATTTAGGTCGAAGTTTGTGTCCAACACTTGGAACAAAGTTTGTGTCCAACACTCGGAACAAAGTTTCACATAAAAAAAACCTAATGAAACTTAAAAGACAAATAATAAAAAAAAATTAAGGATAAAATATTTAAGAACATTTTTTGCAAGTTTCATCTTGGAGAAAAAGAATAATACGAAAGAATTCTCTCAGGTATCGTTATTTTAAGGACATCTATACGGTTTGTTATTCTTTTTCTGACTAGAAAATCCTAAACATGGAATCTGGCATGAGGAGAAGGAGGAGGGGCGATGTATATTGAGATGTGATAAAGGATACGAACCCTCCAACTGTCACGTTCTCCGCCTAGTAAAAGGAAAATGGAACTTTGAAATCCCAGACTGTAAAAATGGTAAATCTCACAAAAATATATAGATTCTAGGGCCTAAAATGAAATATTATTTGTTTGCAGTTGCCTACCGACCCACTGAAAATGCACCCGACCCATTTTTAGCCATTTTGTAATTATTTTTTTTCCCATAATTTCAGGATATTTAAAGTGTTTCATTGTCAATTTTGTCTTTATCAATTAGTAGTTTATACCAAGAGTGTATTAATGTATAGTAGGCCTATGAAAACTTTATTTTATGTTATCAAACAAAAATCTGAAAACATTTTTTTTTCAAAAAAAAAATGCTAACCTACAATGTACCTACCCTGTCTAAAAATTATAGGTCGGCAGCTGCAAACAAAGAGTTTTTTAAACTTGGGCTTAGAATAGTTATTAGATTTGTTTAATGATTTTTTAATTCTTGACTCTAAAATAGCTTCATTGATCGACTCAAATTGCTTTTGCAGCATCCTGGATTTCGGGAAAAACCCTTGTAACTGCAGGAGTGGGGACAGCGGCCGTGGTAGCACTACCTTACACGATAGCCGCCATGGGGTTTACTGCTGCTGGGGTCACGGCCGGGTCAATAGCCGCTTGGTGGCAAGTCAGTTCACTTCTACTACCCCAACTTATGTTCATTGTTAAACGTCCTTCTTGAGAATTGCTAGCTCAACAAATCAGAGACCAGTAGAGCTTATGCCATAATAAGGTGTCCATCTGTCTGTCTGTTAAACAATTTTTTCAAAATTTGCTACTCCTCCCTCAGCTTTGGTCTGATTTCAATATAACATGGCACACACGTTAACAATGTTACGATACCTTAATTATTTTTTTTTCATTTTTAATGAGGGGTGTTTGCCAAGGAAACTTAAAATAGAATTTTCTTTGACATTCCTTTGAAACGCTACTCCTCCTACAGTCGTGTAATTTAAATAAAACTTTTCATACAAATGCCCAAATAGACTACACTAAGAAACGTAATTAAGAACATTGGTTTTTGATTTCGATAAACCGAAAACGGTGTTGCCATCATGATGGTTACTTAAAATAGAAAATTCGGTGATATTCCTTTAAAACACTACCCTTCCAAAAGTTTTTGACTGACTTCAATGGTACACAACAAGACTACACTTACTAAAATAAATAATTTAGAGCATCTGTTTTTGATTTCGATGAACGATGTTGTCATGATTTATAAAAAATATGAAAACGCTATTTCTTAAAGTTTTGGTTTGATTTGGATATAAATAAGCCCACGGGTAGACTGCACTATGAAGCATAATTCTATTGATTTCTGTCTGTTGCAATGTTTCAATTCCAATGGCTACATTTCTTTTCTTATATGTAGAGACTAGTAGAGCTACAGTCTCCTCAAAGACTTCTGGTTCACGTACATGTATATCACCATATAGAAAATGCATTCTAAATAAAATTCCTGAAGATCCAATAGAATTGATGGCTAAATGATAAAGTTTCGGGATTTTTATTAGTAAAACTTTTATTTAAAAAAGAAAAAAAAATTATATCAGTCCATCGTTTAAGACTGCATAGAAAGTACAATTATCAAAAGAAATTTTATTTCTTTTTTTCCTTCAAAACGGCAAGAGGAGTATAGATGATTTGATACTGAACTTTGATTGAGTTTCTTCATGTAATGGTTAACATTATGTGTTGAAATTACTGTAAACTAGCAATTATTCGTGTTATCTTTTCTTCCCGATCGTCAAATTTAAATAAATCAGCGATAATTATTTTTCACGACTGAGGGAAAATCCTCTACAAATACAAAAGCAAAAGCTGTAGTTCACACCGATTAATATTCAAGTACATGTACACGTAGGTTTCGAAATTCATGGATATTTCTCGTTCGCGAATAACATTTTGGTTTACAGGTACTCGTTTCCTTCAAGTCATTTAAATTTGACTTCTTTGCAGTCTACCTCGGTAGCGGGAGGTGTATTCGCCGGTTTACAGAGTGCTGGTGTCGTAGGTACGGGCTTGGCCACTAAGCTCGGAGTAGGCGGGGTTACAGCGGCGGTGACGAACCTTGTCTCCTCGGCCTTCTCCGGTTGTGAACAAGAATAGCCTTCAAAGGAGTTAATAAGGAGTAGAGGCATAATATGTTTTGTAAACATTATAAAAAGGTTGCTTGTGTCCATTTCTTAACAATAAACTGGAAAAAAGTGCAATGTAACTTTACTGGTATTTGTTAAATCAATTTTCCATTAATGATTTAAAAATAAGAAATTTAATTCATTTAAAAAATCTTTTTATAAGTAAAACTTCAAATTGTTAAATAGCTGTGTGTTTGTCTGTCTATGTGTTTGTCTGTCTAGCTGTCGCCTTTTCTGCCTGTGTGTTTGTCCATCTATGTGTTTGTCTAACTGTGTTTGTCAGTCTGTCTGTCTGTGTGTTCGTAAATCTATTAGTTTGTCCATCTACTTGTCGCCTTGTCTGTTTGTGTGCTGTCTAGCTGTGTGTTTGTCCGTGTTTGTTTGTTTGTATATGTGTTTTTTGTCTGCGTTTGTGTGTTTGTCTGTCTGTGTGTTTGTTTGTCCTCTTTGTTAAGCTGTTTGTGCGTTTGTTTGTCTGTATATGTGTTTGTTTGTCCGTGTTTGTTTGTATGTGTGTTTGTTTGTCTGTATGTGTGTTTGTTTGTCTGTATGTGTGTTTGTATATGTGTTCGTTTCTCCGTCTTTGTATGTGTGTTTGTTTGTCTGTGTTTGTCTGTCTGTGTGTTTGTTTGTTCGTCTTTGTTAAGCTGTATGTGTGTTTGTTTGTCTGTGTTTGTCTGTATAATTGTGTTTGTTTGTCTGTGTTTGTTTGTATGTGTGTTTGTCTAGCTGTCTGTGAGTCCCTCTGTCTGTCTCTCAGTCTGTAGTAGTTCATTTTCCGATCTTTTTACCTAACGCCTCCAGACATTATACTAGTAGTCAGTGTATCGAGATGAGATACAGATCAAGTTTGCATTTGGTCTTGCTTCAGTGATTTCAAACAGAATTATGGCCCTATCAGTTTTTTTTACAGGAAGCATATAATACAATACTCGCAATGTTTTTGTTTATATAGATACTGTTCAAAATTGCCATGCATGTTTTTTCCCCAAAATAAACTTGATAATGGCTGCTTTTGTGACGCCAGTCAGAGGTATTTATTATGTTTTTCCAATACGAGTTCACGTAAAGGTCGACAAATATGTTATTATCTTTAGGTGCTTAGATTTCTTGATAAATATGTCGTATGATCTAAACTGTATAGGTCAAAGGTTTACCTTCAGTGGTAACAAAATGGATATAAAAATGCATCGGTACCTATAATAATGACACGGGTTTTGGTATAAAGCAAGATCTATATTTTTGGTTTGGTTAAATTTTGCATTGGAGTTTTATAAATACGATGTATCAAGCTTATTAAATAACTAATTTCAAAAAATAAATTTGGTATTTGTGTTTTCTTTTTCTTTTAAGCTTACCTGAGCCGAAGGCTCAAGTGAGCTTTTCCGATTCCAATTTGTCCGTTGTCTGTCTTCGTTGTCGTAAAATTTTCACATTTTCATCTTCTCAAGAACCACTGGGTCCATTTCAACCAAACTTGCCACATAGTATCCCGAGGTAAAGGGAATTTAAATTTGTTCAAATTAAGGGCCACAGCCTCTTTCAAGGGGAGATAATTAAATAGTTTCTTCTCAGTGATATATAAATGCGCTGTTCCTTTTATGACCAATTTATAAAACCGCAAGTCTGCAGTAATCAAGATACTTGCAACTCTTTCTTTAATCATGTATCGAGCACTTGACGTAGCAGCAGTTGATGCCCTTTAATATTGATTTAGTTCACTCGCGGCTTGGACTCGAACCCTTGGCCATCTGATCGCGGAGCGAGCTCTCTACCGACTAAACTACCATCCCCAGTAGTGTTTTAAAACAAAATGAATTGCCTCTAGATCTGCCTTAGGAAAGAATTTTGTGTTTAAAATTTAATTTATGCAAATTGAAACCTAACATTGTTTATTTAAACTGTTATTTAGAATTATTTTTATAATTTTACAAAAAAACATTTTGTTAACGATACCAAAGTTTATACATGTGCTTTAAACTAATTCATTATTGACCGTATAATTTATTCTAAAATGACTGGATAAGAATTACCTTTTTTAACTTAAAGAATAGTAAGGTTCTCTGCTGCCATTAAATACTAACGGAGTCAAATTACGAGCTGTTGCCCTGGTTATCAATTTTCAGTTTTCATTCCATTTTTATCAGCATTACTCATTTTCTTAAAAAGCTGTTTTTACTAGTATCAGTATTTTTTCACTGTAAAAGGTTTACGATATCATTTACAAAAGAATGGGTTTTTTTCCTTTTGTGAAACGCCCAATACCTATTGATATTTTTTTATAACCGGAGTAAAACGAACACGTTTAACCGTGTAGTTTTTAAGTTTTACATCAAAGTTTCACAAACAACGAATTAGAAGTACATAAAAAAATATTTGTATGAACTAAAAAGGATAACTATAGAAAGATAGAAATTTTAAGATCATGAAAATTTACAAGTTTCATCATTTGTGACCAAAATAAGGCCCACAAATATGTATCAATCCAGGCATCCATTTTTTTGGTATCATGTTTTTAATGAACAATATGGATATAAGTACATCTAAAATTCTTTATTTTGTGATTTGTCACCAAAAAAATACTTACCCAGTCTGCCCTTATTGCCCGGGTGGATTTGCTAGAATATTGCTCTTGATTCATGAAATAAACGCTGATCTTACCGTCTTGAGTTCGAATCCCACTGCTTGACATTGACAGTGTTTACTCGGTTTGGGCCTATGAAAACGGTGGTCCTGTGTCGCATTAGATGTTGGTAAAAAGTAACTGAGGTCTCATGTCGCAGTAGATGATGGTACGAAGAAGACCCGAGGTTCTGTGTCGCAGTAGATGATGGTGCGAAGAAGACCGAGGTCCTGTGTCGCAGTAGAAAATGACACGAAGAAGACCGAGGTCCCATGTCACAGCAGGTGATAGTACGAAGAAGACTGAGGTCCTGTGTCGCAGTAGATAATGACACGAAGAAGACCGAGGCTCTGTGTCGCAGCAGGTGATAGTACGAAGAAGACTGAGGTCCTGTGTCGCAATAGATAATGACACGAAGAAGATCGAGGTCCCATGTCACAGCAGGTGATAGTACGAAGAAGACTGAGGTCCTGTGTCACAGTAGATAATGACACGAAGAAGACCGAGGTTCTGTGTCGCAGTAGATGATGGTACGAAGATGACCGAGGTCCTGTGTCGCAGTAGATAATGACATGAAGAAGACGGAGGTTCTGTGTCGCAGTAGATGATGGTACGAAGAAGACCGAGGTCCTGTGTCGCAGTAGATGATGGTACATGTACGAAGAAGACCGAGGTCCTGTGTCACAGCAAGTGACAGTATGAAGAAGACTGAGGTCACGGGTCGCAATATAAGATGTTGGTGCATAGAGTACCGAGTGTCATGTCGCAGTACGTGTTGCTACGAAGACAATTTAGGTCCCTTGATTGTCGCAGGAGATATTGCTACAAAGAAGACCGAGGTCCCTGTTGCAGTGGCTGTTGGTAGAAGATACCTAACTGATCAGTGTCCTTAAGTACAGCGAATGCATCTACGATTTGAAGCCCTCCACTGAAATTCAGTGGCGGAATTAAAAGTTGACGTTGATTGGGGTGGGGTGGGGGTTGAGGCCCAAAGATCCGAAGTGAAATTGTGTGCATAAGGTTTCTCAGTATGCTATTGAAACGTTCAAATGTTAACGTTAAACAAACAAACAAACTGGTCTACAAGAAATTATCAGCTGATGCTAATGTTTTCCTAAGTCTATTATGTTCATTTCTAAATTACCCACTAAATGCTTATTGTTGCTATGATATACAGTTAATTCTCGATAAACCGCCACCTTTTGTAATTTAGAAATCATGGCGGTATAACGAATTTGGCGATGAATCGAATTTCCCATCTTTTAGAAAACAAGAAATAGAGTTACCGTTCTTAAAAATACCATTTAGCGTTTCTATTCTTATTATTACATGTACATGTATATAAAACATATTTCTGATTAAAAATACTTCAAGTTATTTTTTTATGTACAATTTCGCTAAAAAAAATGTGCAGTTATGAATGAAAGACAAGTACATGTGTATGCATGTAAATCTGCACGTCTGATATTGAAAAAAAAAACATGCTGGGTTGTCGTCGTGATATATTGCCGATAGAACGTAAAATGAATTCTTGAATAAATTTATTGTTTATGGCATCATTGTTAATGAAATGTTCACAATTTATACCGTATAACTATATTTTCAATAAATTTTATTTTATTAAACAGAAAACAGAATTATAACAGTTCATGTTAAAATTATTGTTTATTTAATTCTTGTTTAATTACTTAATTGCATGTACCTTTTCTGCCTTTGCATGCTTTACAACAGGGATAGCCGTCAACCAATTAGCCGCGCTTCTCTGACCCCATGCACCCGTGGCGGTATATCGAGATAATTGACACTTAAAAATGGACGTTTGTTGTGAAAACAGGGTGGCGGATGGCGGTATGCGAATTTGGCGTTATAAAGAGAATTTTATATAGCAGGAAAAACGTTCTTGGGAAATCATGGCGGTATTGCGAAAATGGCGATGAATCGAATGGCGAAAATTCGAGAATTGACTGTAATTGAGAATATTAACCTAAATAAACATGACTTCTTAAGAGTACATAAATTATTGAACAATATCAGGTCAATAGGATATCATGTTATTTAGTCGATCCGGAAAAGTGTGATTGTGTAAGGTCTGGCCAAAATACTCGGTGATGTATTGTTTCCATTTCATTAATTAACCTTTACGATAGTTCTCATATCTGGACATCTATTTGTCTACAGTCTTAATTCTCAGTATACATAATTATAGATATCTTCAACAAAAACATTTTCCAGGATTTTGTTTTTGGTATGTTTCATATATTATATATTGCATGCATTTCTTTAAAGAGAAGGCGTTATTTTATCCAACAAAATAAAAATAAAGACGATTCTATTTTTTTCTAAAGTTTTTCACGGTTCCTTTTGTTTATTGATGCATAAGATTGACGATAATCAGGGATTATTTCGAAATTCCTAATACTAACAATAACTGTTTAATAAAGGTTGATAATCAAAACTTCAAAATTTCCTTATGCAAACACCCCATAAATGTACCTGATAGAAACTGGAAGAATAACACAAATTGTATTGGCGGAACTGTCATGGCTTTATATTAAAAATCAACATTTACATTTAACATGCAACTGGCATGTTCATACAAATCAACATTCACATTTAACATGCAACTGGCATGTTCATAACCTATGCGCCGATCTTACAACTGGTAAGCTTTTGGCAGCATAGCATTCACAAATATCAAACAAACCATATCATAGCTGGGGGACCTGGAGAAAACAGTATCCCTCAGCAAATGTCAAAATTGCGCCAATTGGATTTCAATCATAATGAAATCCAACCACCATCATAGCGGCCGAATTTTGACCACAGTTAACATTCATCATTCACAAATCACATCACATCATAAAGCCACAACAGTTCCTATTCCCAAAATTCATGCACAGTCACTTTGATGGATAAACAAAGTTATTACCAGAGCTGAATTGCCTAAGAGCAGCCTGCATTGTTGACAAGAAAATTTGATTACCCAAGGGAGATAAGTGAACTCCATCATTAAGAAAGAGTTTTCTTTGATCAATTTTGATATCAGGATACTTAATTGAAGCACCATTTGACCTTAAAACAAAGCTAGCAATAGAACTATTAATCCTAGATCTTGATTTCTCTGCAGCAACATTTGAAAATGAATGACGCCAATATACCCTGGGCAAAATATGTGACCAAACAATGCAAGTCAAAGGCATAACCAAACGCAACTTGTTGATAACAGTTTTCATAAATTTTTGTTGTCTTCTTAAAGGATTATTATGTTTGGCAATGTCATTACCACCTACATGAATAACAAGAAACCTTGGATGTGGCTTTGTAGAGTATAGGTCCGAAATAATCTCGTTGAATTTGGAAAAACTCAACCCTGGTAATCCCTTCCACAAAACTTTTACCCCTGTCAAAGAAAGGTCTGTGCCAAATTCTGGAGAATTCAATGCAAATTGTTCTGCTCTTTTAATAAGGGATGAACCCACAATCCAGATTGAATCTACAAGATTTAGAAACAATACATGAAGCAATCATAACAGTCTACATAATTATGAAAAACAGCACAAAATTATAACCCAACTCTAATTTTGATACCCAGATGACATCAATATTGTCATGTGTAACCATCTTATTAATAGTATCATTTACATCTAAAATGTAATCAATTCAGGTCTGAGATAAAGCTTGTATGCATCTGATACCCAT